TTCCTCCAATTAAAAATAAATTTTAAAAAATTTGGACTCTGTCACTTATCAACTGTAACACCTTGGACAAATTACTTAAATTTTTTTGCATGTGTATTAGTTGCTCAGTTGTGTCTGACTCATCATCCCTATTTCACATCAGGATAAATGTTTGTATACTAACGTAATATAGGGATAAAAATCCTACCTCATACAATTTTCTAATAGGTATATGAACTAATGGATATAAAATGGCTTTTATAATGTCTGATATTAATCAGGTACTTAAGAAAGATTAATGCATTTTTTCCCTTTTTGTTAATGAACATTTTCTTATCTTTACAAACAATAGGACAACATGCATTTCCTGTTCTCATGTTTTTCAATTATACTTTACATTTTATCTTCAGCTACAGCTGAACGATATCATAAACAATATCAACTGCTTTCCATTATTTTCCTTTTATGTGCTTACAATTGTTTGAGTGCTAAAGGTTATACGTTTTTAGGTTATTAGAGAGTTCATGTTGACAATGAAGAATTAAATCAATACTAAAAGGAAAAGGATTTGATACTTTCAACTTATCAACTTAGTAAAAATATGAGATCAATACGTTTTGCAGGATCAGTTTGAATGTCATTATTTCTGAGAAGTCTGAAATGGGTAGAAGAGAGGAAAGGATCTATTTCTTAACCTATCGATGTAAATCTAACATAATCCTCAAGCAAACAGAAACCCTTGTTTACTAAATCAATTTGAGTTTTACAGTGAAATGATGAGACTGCTTGTTAAGTAATGAATTCTTGCTGCAAGAATCAGTCAATCAGGGAACATATGAACTCCTGTCATGGTATTCAATTAGGAAACCCTGTATTGGGCCACAGTCTAGACCAGTGGTTTTCAAATTCTCTTCATTCAACTCTGGGGATGCGCAGGGTGTGGGGAGGTGATGAAGTCTTTGAGGCATGCCAAGTCCAGGAGAGAGACAAAGGGCTAAGAGAGACTAAGCCCTTCTTTGTAATTACATCACTGAGAGTGATTGTGCTTTCATTGTTTCATATTTTGGTTTTCAGATGCAGTCTGTTTTTTGAGAGTCACAACAAAAATAACACACACTTGACAACTAGTATGCACAAACCACTATCTGTATGCAAATAGAAAGAGGCACCATATCTACCTCTGAAAGAGCCTGCAAAAAGTTGGTATGAAAGTATACACACTGCATTAAGTCAAAAATAATTTACAAGGCAATGTAACATAGTTGAATGAGGAAGCATTTGAAGAAGAGAGTATTTCAGAGATGAGCTGAATTTGAAGATTGTGAAAGACATAGATTAGTAAACAGGTGAAAGAAAAGGCTTGCTAGATAGGAAAAGGCAAACAAAGAACTCCAGAGTAGAAGTTAAAAGTGGATTGGGAAGGCCATAACCAAGAGATAGGAAAGAATAAATCAGTCTTGGAGGATAGATTATAAAAATGATGAGATAAAGGAGCTGGAATAGAGAAAGATAAGAAAGGTTAGAATAGGGAAAGGATGATGACTTCTCTTGTTGTAAAGTAAACACTGCTGAAATAGACTTAAAACAGATTTTTAAAAGGAAGAGAAACCTATTAGTAAATGAAAAGTCTGGTCCTTACTCTCCCAGGAGTAGAGAAGGATTGCATTAAATTATTCCCACTCTCTCATTCTAACCATCCCTTAGTGAAACAGGAAATGGTCCATTGTGATTAGTGGTCTGAACAAGAGGTAGGGGTGAGAATTCTCCTAGTAAAGAAAGCTTAGCTAAACCCAAGAAGACTTTTGCTGTCTGTTTTGAAGGGCCATGTTTTAAGAAACGGATTGAGCCAGGCCTGAGTGCTTCTCCCTAGTGTAGTTAACTGATGATGATGCAACTCGAATGCTGACTGTGTATGCAGGCTTTTCCACGGGACTTCTTTCCAGAGTGACTTCTGACACACGATAAGCTCAGTATTGACTTTCCACCATCACTGCATTTATCAGCTTTCTCCTCAGACGGGCTCTCTGAGGTCCTAGAGGACTGGTGGTATAACCAAAGACCTTCCCGTGCTCATTATTACATCCACAGGACTTCTAACCTGTGTGAATTCTGTGATATATAATGAAGTGTGAGTCTCAACTGCGTATTTTCCACATTTATTGTGCTTTTCTGGTGAGAAGTCTGTAACATAAAGTAAGATATTTACTAGACTAAATGCCATGCCATGCCACATTCAAAAGGCTTTTCTCTGGTGTGAATTTGCTCATAATCAACAAGTTTAGAGGTCTGACTGAAGGCTTTTCTACACTGCCGACACATATGTGCTTGTTCCCTGGCATGGGGGAACCAGTGTCAGTAAGACTGACACTGACTGTCTTACTTGACACTGGATTTTACTCTGACTGAAGGCCTTACTACATTCCTTACACTTGTAAGACTTCTCCACAGTGTGAACTTTCTGGTGGTCAGCAAAATTTCTATCAGAATAGAGAGCGTTCCCACATTCATTTCAACATAACATTTGTCACCTGTGTGAAGTGCCTGGGGCTGTAAAAAGATCCTACTCTGAATGAAGGCCTCCCACACTCATGATATTCTGAAGACTTCTCCCCAATAAGGGCTGTCTGATGTGCCTCTGAGGGGATGAGGAGTGAAGGCTTTTCATGTTCGTCACCTTGATGAGGTGTCTCCTTGTCTAGTATTTATTGAGACAGGAGGAGTGGTGACAAATCTCCTCACACTCTCATTCATAGAACCTGTCCCCTCAGTGGGTGCTCAGATGAACCACTGGCTGAGGGGTTTCTCTAAAGCTCTTAACATACTCATTACATTCCCAGAGGTTCTTACAAGTACGGATTCCCTGATGGTCNTAGAACCTGTCCCCTCAGTGGGTGCTCAGATGAACCACTGGCTGAGGGGTTTCTCTAAAGCTCTTAACATACTCATTACATTCCCAGAGGTTCTTACAAGTACGGATTCCCTGATGGTCAACCAGATGTGGGTCCTGACGAGAATTTTGCTGCATTTATGGCACCTTCGGAGGTGATGTGTGTCCCTTCAGACCTCCTTGTCGTTCAGTAGGACTGAGGACAGACTAAAATGTCCTGCAGGTGAGAGCTTTGCCTGCCACAATGCCTGTTCATTGCTGTACCAGAGTGTGTGGGCAAAGAGATGGCTCCCCTTGGGGCACTTGCCAGCCTCAGGAAAAGTGCTGATGGCTGCGGGCTGCTGTAGGGGAGGCGCGTGGTCCCAGCCACAGCACTTTGGGTGCTGACTGCTGGGTAGTGGGGACCTTGGCCTGGCCAGCTCACCTGCACACTCCCACAGGCACCCAGTAGAGCCAGGGCTCCACATCCCCAAGGCCTGTACGAGGCATAAATGATATGTAATTTTAATTGAAAACAAATCTTTCTACTCCTTAAACAATAACAACAAATCAAGAAGGCAGAAATAAAAAATAACATCTGACCTCCACAATCTCCATTGTTCTTTCTATGTATTGCTCATGTGGCTGCTCAAATGACCTAGTTTTTTATGTAAAAAACTTCCTTTTCATTTCAAAAACTGTTGACTGGACCCAACTGCTTTTTGACTGTAGTGCTAGAAAAATATATCAATACTTATAATAAAAAAAAAAGATACAGCTGTCTTTGCAATATTGAGTTTCCATGTATCTTTAGTCTCAATCAGTGTATACTGCTTATAATAAAAATGTTACACATTTTTAAAAAAAATCAGTGATGATTTGGATTTTAGCTTTGATAGACAGCTCAGCTTATGGAATTGATGCCTTGTTTTGTTTTTGTTCAAAATACATCAGTGAAGAATATTAGGAAAGTTTGTAGGGTGTCTTTGTAGCAGAAAAGTTTTCAAGGTGACAGCATTAAGTTTTTAACAAAATGTTTTCTATTCATGCATTGTGCGGGTGTGTGCGTGCTCAGCTGCATCCAATTCTTTGCAACCCCATGGACTGTAGTTCTCCAGGTTCCTCCGTCCATGGAATTTCCCAGGCAAGAATACTGGAGTGGGTTGCCATTTCCTTCTCCAGGGGATCTTCCCAACTCAGGGATCAAACCTGAGTCTCTTGTGTCTCCTGCTTGGCAGGCAGATTCTTCACCACTGTGCTACCATTAGTATGAATAGAAGAGGAAGCTCTCTTATATTCATACTAATGGTCTAATTTTTCCCTTAATTATTAGATTTGTTTCCTTGACTGTGTTAAGACTTCAGTTATGTAACATTTACTGTGTATGTATGAAAGTTTAATCTCTTCACTTCTAAATGTCACTTATCAATCCTTTTTAATAGAGTCTTCTAGTCTTGGACTTTGGAGAAAGAAAATAATAAAGCCCATGGAGAAAGAATGATTCTAAGTCAGACAAGGGTGACTGATAGAGACTTGGCAGAGAAGGGGTTTGTGAGTTCAGTGATGCTGAGAAGGGCTTTCCGGGCATGAGTAAAATCACAAAATATATCACATAGCATCATGACTCATGAACATCAATGAATTTTAAATTAAATCAAAACTGAGATGTTATAGCTAATGATATACTCGTGTCCTAGGCAAGGGTGCACACGTAATCTAAATAAGCATGGAATTAAACCAGCCTGCATGGGGTCACCAAACCAACCAGTTTTGATTAAGTCAAGAAATCAATTTAAGTAAGGAGTATCTTAATTTTTTTCATTGAACTGAGAGTCTGCTTCTATTAATAAACCAACGAAATAGCTGATGTGGTTAATGTGATCCCAACTGGTCACAGTGCATCAAACAGAGTATGCAGTTTGGATGAGATTCAATTAATTTTTCTTAAATAATTATAATAACAATTCACAAATTGTTTTTGCCATTTCAAAACCATCCAGTGAACTAAAGAATACAAAATAAAAATATTCAACTTAACTACTGAATATATCAACTTACATCACCATCAATCCCCTGTATGCATAGGGCAGGGTTCAGAGGGAGGTGACAGGTCTTTGTGCACCAAAAGAATTCTTCTAGTCTGCCAAGCTCCTTCTTCAGGACCTCCTGTGAAAAATCATCAGAAAAAACATTTTTGAAACTGTAAAGAACTTGACTTGCCTTTCAAGTTATACATTTCTTCTATTGATTATAAAAACTCGTTAATTTAGGGTTACACACTTGGATGCTTTGGGTCAGTGGGTGATGTAGCTGCATATGAGGAGGCAACAGGCTAAAGACAAGAGGGAGTCCTAGGAAAAATGAGGGAGTAGATTGAATGCCCTTTCTGAAGCACTTTAAATTAAAAACAAAAGCAAAACAAAGTACTGTTCTATTCAAACAAAACATGATGCATTGGGCTTGACCTGTGACCCAGCAACTTGCAACCCCTGCTTTAAGGAATTATTAACATGATCCATTTATCATAATTCCCTGAAATCTTAGTTTGTAACTCTAAAGATTTACACTTGATACTAATAGTACATTTTAGAAAAAAATTTCCATAGAGTAGGAACAATAATGTCAAAAAAGATAATTACGGACAATTGATAAATGTCAGAAACGGTAACATATATGAACAAATAGTTTACTAAATGCCAGTGAGTGTATTTCTGATAGTTGACTCACTCCCTTCCACAGTCCTCTGCACACGTGGAAGGTCAGAGACCAAACAACCCCTTTAGAATTGTGTATCCCCTGAGAGGTAGAGAACAAATGTACAGATATCAAGGGGGAGCTGAGGGGATGGGATGCATTGGGAGATTGGCATTGACATACATACATTATTATTTATTATGTATAAAACAGAAAACCAGTAAGAACCGACTCTACAGCACAGGGAACTCGGGGCTCCACGGTGACCTATAGGGAAAGGAACGCCAGAAAAGAGGGGACACATGAACATGTAATTGATTCACTTTGCTGTAAAGAAAAAGCTAACAAAACATCATAAGGCAACTATACTCCAGTAAAAATTAAAAATATATATATAACTGTGTATTCCCTGTCAAAAAGAGGGAAAAACAATGATAATTAAAAAACAAAAACCAAAAAACTTTTGACCTATTTTGAAAACTCTTTTAAGTCCATTTCTACAAATGAGGTTATCAGATTAATGATGCTTGACTAACTCTCAAGAGTTTCTCAGCTCTGACTCCTGGCTCATGGTCAAATAACAGAATCGACTGCTCCCAGAATCCAGAAAAACAAGGAGGAGAAATGGGGCAAAGTTCCACAATGGGATTCTTTTTGTCTGCCCTCTTTGTCTTTTCTATACCTGGATTTGCCTGAAGAGCATCAGAGGGGAACCTCTGCTCTCTTTAACTAAAATCTCTTCACTGGGTATAGTTAGGTTTAATTGGGTTTAAAAAAAAATAGAGAAAAAAAGCTTACAGTAACTTGTGAGAAATCATAAATTTTTCTCCCACATCCTTCTTTTTTCTTTTCTCGTTTTCATGTGAAAGAGGTGTTCTCATAAGAGCAGCCAGTCAAGGTGAGAGAAATGCATTTATATGAGAGGATGATGTCAATATCACTTTGGAACTTGATGCAATTGGTCAAAAAGGCACTGTACTGACTGTAGTATGCATCTTCAATACATGAGGGACTTTAAAGTATAAGAAATAAAGACCAAACCTATACACAAAGTTTGTAAATTTTAAACCAAATTTATTTTACTTATGCTCAACTTTTTGTTTACCATTAGACAATAACTAATGAATTTGCAATAACATGGAGAAGTCATAGGAAATTTTTTTTTTCATTGCTTATCATGTTATGTGCCTTAAGGCTCTTCTCTGCATCCAGAAATTATATGCCTCCCATTAAAAATAAATTCCATGCTTCTGCTTTTTATTTTCCATTTTTTTCCTACATAGGTAAATTAGCATAGCTTCTGGCATTATTACCAAATGAAGTGATTTCCAGTAAGAAAAATCTTGTGCTGGGAAAGAGTTCTGGGACACTTTGCCTCCTACTATTGTTATATCATTTTGTTGAAAACTCTTGTTGATTTTAAACGGTGGATGGAGAGAGACCATGAGCTCCCTTGAGGACAAGATTTATGGTTTAGTCATCTTTCTATCCTTAACTCCGAGACCATAGTAAGTACTTATTATTGAATTATATTCTTAATCCAATGAATGGAAGTTCATTATCTCTCTACATCTAGATTGTGAACTTAAGAGAATCTACTTAATGGTCTGTAACAGTGAAGGGAACTAGTAATGCAGACAATTAAAAAGAGCAAGTGTTCTTCCATTAGATCAAGAAAAAGAATAGCCAGGTCCTTTATTATAATCAGTGATGAAAGAGGTACAATATTTTGACTACCATCCATGGATGTTAGTACGAAAGTCTTACTATCCACACCACTATTGATTTGTTTCATGTATTTCACTTTATTTGTTGTGGCAAGAAAAAAAAATGCCTTTAAAAAAGTAGCTTTGATTAGTGCAGAGTTAGAAAAATTTAGACCAAAATTTTGTCCCTTGGACAAGGGTGTTTAAAAAGTCCCATTTGTGTACTTCTTCTGTAAGTCTGAATTGTGCTTCCATTCTGAGGAAATTACTTCATCTGGTCGTTTTAGTCAAATTGCCTTGAAATTGGTCTCTTGTCAGGTACTGTTTGTGCAACATGGCTATTTAAATTAAAAAACCATGTCCTGGTGATAGAAATTATCATTAACATTAGGATAGTAAATTGACCAAAAAAAACTTAATCAAAAGAATTGATTGAAGTGTCTTATGACTAAGTGGCAGTCAAGGAATGTACTTTCAGTGTTATGACATTCAAACTTAATTGAATCATAATGAAAAAGAAAACAAAAGTTCATTACAGGAAGATTGATGTCCCAACAAACCTGTCTTTGAGGGTCACTAGCAGTCTTGACTTTTTCCCCAATGTCTCCCAGAATCTTGATAAGTTTCTGCTCCTTGGAAAACTCACCCCTCAGGGCTTTTCCTGCACAGAATTGGAGTGCAGCCAATAGCTTCTGATACCAACTTTTAAAATAAGTTTCATTCTGTGCATCCTTTAGCAGCCTGAAGGAAAGGGAGAAAAAGAATTCTTGTATCTAAAGCTGATTTTTTTAAACACCTCCAGCAGGAACAATAAGTGCATTTCAGACTAATCTGTGTGATGGCTTTGGGCAGTTTAACAGCCTAGAATGGGGGAAATGTTGTTTATTTGTTGCCAGTCATCAAGTTTCATCTGATAGTTAATGAGATTCCGAGAGTGAAAAATCAATAAGAGACCCACTATTCCTCATTTCAGTTCATGATGCACTTTTTCTTCTTTTAGGCTTCTTAAGTTCTAGGACAAATAACTTATCCTAAGAGCCTATTTTTGGCTTATTAAAATACAGACAAAGTTTTTAAAATTGTATTTAATAGTCACTATACTTAATGGCGACTCAACCATCAACCCCATGTTTTTCTGTTTTTCTTCAATAGATAATGTCCGCACGCTGTCATATATCTATGTATTGCTCTTTATTACATCACTCCCCCTTGATTACCTGGAGGAAAATACCATAAAGGCAAGACCATGGTGCTTTTTTTGTTGTTTTGCTTTGCTTTCAAGTATTTCTGGATTCAAATCTTAGCCCTACAACTTCCAAGTAACTTAGGCTACTTACTTAAACCAGTTGAGGTTAAAGAAAAAAAGTAATATCTCTGAACCTATAGAATTATACAGAATATAGAAAAAGTTAATGTGATTCTAATTCAAAAGGGCTTAGCTCAAAGTATGTACTAGTCAGTAAAAAAACATTAGTTCAGCTGTATCTTGCAGTCTCCCCAAGCCAACTTCTCTCACTGGCAGTCTGCTGGTGTCATGAACACGGGAAGCACGGAACAAAAGAAGGGAAGGACACTTCGCGAGATAATGGAACAGTGACAATTACTGGATTACTCTTTCTGCCATGTGACAATTTCTATTTCCTTGAAACCAATCCCAATATGCTTCAGCTTTACTTTTTATTATGCCCTAAAACACTGAAGTAAAAAAGACTGATTCCTTTAAATGTTAACCTCTCTTTGACTGATTCTTTAATTCTTGTCTCTAGTCTTCTGAAAAAAAATGATCATTTAAGGAACTAGAAGAAAGTTATGAGAATGGAATGCTGAAAAAAAGGATTAAAGGCCTAGAAGCCAAAATATTAATATATATAGATGAGTTTCATTTTGCATTCCTAATTTTGCATCTCTGCCCACTATGTATTGTGCTACAGAGATTCTAAGAAACACATTATTTTCATTTGTTGTATGTTCTCTGTTCTTACACATTTAAGTTAAAAAATTAATTGAATGAATCTGCTTTTTTTAAAGGAAAGGGCTTGCTCTCTTGTCATTTTTACGAAGCCAACTTATCTTCTCACACCTCTTTTACTTTTGCAAAGGAAACATAAACTGAGTGGAATAAGAGTTCTTATTTCTGAAAAGCATTAAAAAAACCTCAAGGGGCTAACGATGTATTGATGAAAATATAATCTATTGATACTTATATTTTCAATGTAAGGAGAATAACAGACAATAAAAAGTTTCCTACCTACTCCTTCAATGAGATTTTTGAGATGTCAGACATAATAAATGAATCATGTCATTATTTGAAGGCTCTAGGAAAGTGAGAGTTGTATGGATGTGAATTGGAAAGCCTCAAATGAAAACATCCACATTTAAAACTTCAAGATATTTTCTGCAGAGTGTATACCTCAGAAGGGCTTCCCAGTGGCTCAGTGGTAAAGAATCTACCTTCAATTCAGGAGACATAGGAGACACAGGTTCTATCCCTGTACGGGGAAGATTCCCTGCAGGAGGTCATGGCACCCCAGCATTCTTGCATGAACAGAGGAGCCTGTATGTGGGCCATAGTCCATGAGGTTGCAAAGAGTTGGAAATGACTGAAGCGACTGAGCATGTACCCATGTATACCTCACAGATTTTCACAGTAATTTAAGGACTTCAGTAATATACAGTTGTATAGGCTACTTAGTTTTCAATAAGGTAAGGAAGTGATGGGTAGAATATTTCTATATCCCATATCAATGCTGGCCAACACTTTCATACATTTTAAATACTAGTTACTTGTTTTGAAAGATATTATTATTTAAAACTTTTAGAACATAAATATTACTCTATTACCTCCTGACTATTACATACATGATGAAAGGTTATTCTGCACAGATGAAGTCAACGTTTTACTAAAATAATTAGAGAAGACATATTTTAGGAATGGGAGTGTGGTCATAGGAATTGTCAAAATTGTATTGCTGGTATCCAAAATACTCTTAGCCAACTCGATGGACATGAGTTTGAGTAAGCTCTGGGAGTTGGTGATGGACAGGGAGGCCTGGCATGCTGCAGTCCCCGGGGTTGCAAAGAGTTGGATATGACTGAGCGACTGAACTGAACTGAATTCTTATTCTATTAGAAGTCTATTTACTTCTCTCATAGCGCTGGTTCAAAGAGGGGAAAAAAAAAAATCAGTCTAACTCATTGTTCAAAATAAAACATCAGGGACTTCCCTGGCAGCCCAGTGGTTAAGACTCTGCCTTCTAATGCAGGGTGCGTGAGTGGGCTCATGGTCAATTACTAGTTGGGGAGCTAAGGTCCCACTTGCCTCATGGAGAAAACCTAAAAAACATAAAGCAGAAGCAATATTGTAACAAATTCAATAAAGACTTAAAAAATGGTTCACCATTAAAAAAAATCCTTAAAAAAAAAATAAATAAAACAGAGCAGGGGAGATTTGTAGAGAGATTATGTGACTGTGCTTTAATTTTTTTTCATTTATTTTTATTAGTTGGAGGCTAATTACTTTACAATATTGTAGTGGTTTTTGCCATACACTGACATGAATCAGCCATGGATTTACATGTGTTCCCCATCCTGAACCCCCCTCCCACCTCCTTCCCCATCCCATCCCTCTGGGTCATCCCAGTGCACCAGCTCTGAACACTTGTCTCATGCATCCAACCTGGACTGGAGATCTGTTTCACACTTGATAATATACATGTTTCGATGCTGTTCTCTCAGATCATCTCACTCTTGCCTTCTCCCATAGAGTCCAAAAGTCTGTTTTATACATCTGTGTCTCTTTTTCTGTCTTGCATATAGGGTTATCATTACCATCTTTCTAAGTGAAGAAAACGCAGTGTATTTCATTGTGATTATTTTTCTTATAGAACATGTCTCATTCAAACTTTAAGTTCTCCCATGATGACATGGTCTCCTGGTTCAAGTTCTACGGGTTTTTACTCAACTTGTAAGTTGTTTTACACAGTGCAGAATTGAAATGATAGTGTGTTATATAATGATCCTGAGAGGTCAATTAGTCTATCCTTGTGTTGTCAGGGACAATCATTTTAACTGAGGAGAGAAATTAACATGTACTTTAATTTTAATCTATTCAGAGAAAGCTGGACTATTCAATTTTGAGTGGAGGGTTACATAATTCTGTGTCAATGACCTTCACCAGCAGGAAGTAGCAAACCCATCATGTGGTATTTTTTACCTGCTGCTTCTTTTTGTAAGACTGGAAAACAACTGGTCACTTTCCCCTGAGAATTACAGAAACTCTTTTCACAAGACACTGTCACTGGGAAAAGCAGAATTGCTTATGCCAAATTACAAAAAATAATTTTTTAAAGTTCAGGTCAAGGGATTGAGAAATAGGAAATAAGTCTTGGTGCTGAAAGACTGGGCTGTTAAGATGCAGGCAACGTGACCACAAACAAACTATGAGGTAAACCTCAAAATGTCAGAGACCTGTTTATCCCAGTGCAGGCGAGATACAGAAGTAGTTCAACTTGATATTATTTTTCACGTGTGTCTAATGGACTGTAAGTAATGACAACATTAAAATGAGAATATATGCATAAAATCCAGCCGATTAAAGGTTTTGGTAGTGTTGAGAATGAGAGGTAAAAATAAGGAGAGAAGCAAGCATAACACAGGTGACAGAGCATACTTGCTCTGGGATGTCATAAAGGCATTTGCCTAAGTTAAGGGGATAGTGGTGAACTCAGATACACAAACCCCAGCAGCATGAAATGGAGATTTTCCTTGGAAATTAGAGCTTTCCTCCATTTCTTCATGCACATCATGCTTCTGATCACATGGTGAGTGACTTGCTGGAGGTCCAGGAAAAGGATAGCTAGTTCTCATTTCATCAGTCTACCAGCAGGACAGAACAGGCTAATCACACCAGCCCAGCTCTCCTTGCCTCATGACTCCCTTCGGTGTAGGTCTTAATTTTAGTTCTCAATAACATGATATCTTAATCAGATGGTAAAGAATCTGCCTGCAATGCAGGAGACTCAGGTTTGATCCCTGGGTCAGGAAGATCTCCTGGAAAAGGGAATGGCAACACACTCCAGTATTCTTGCCTGGAGAATTCCATGTACAGAGGAGCCTGGTAGGCTACAGTCCATGGGGCCACAAGGAGTCAGACATAAATGAATGTATGAAATACACACCCATGTGTGTATTTCCTGTGAGGGAAGAGAAGAAACAACAGTCAAAAGAAAACGGAGCTACACAATGAAGATGAGTGATTTCAGGTCACTCCAGGACCTCCCCTTCCCATTGCGTCTATTGGTTTAACTTTAGGTGAGGGTAAGGGATGTGCTCCTAGACCAGGTCTTAGTGAGCATGGTTGGATTTTAGAAAGTGACTTCTTCGAGTGTATTTATAACCCTGGGACATATAAAGGCTGAAATCCAATATTTGATATGGAATTATTAACTATAAGTTTTCAACAGTTTATTAAAAAGTAAAAAATAATGTACTTCTTTAGTCTTTATAACTTTATTTTACTTCTCATTGGTTGACAGATTTATTTAATATTTCCCTAAATCGAGGTACTTGATACATTTTATTGTCTTGCAAACATAGCTGTTGCCCATGACTAGCTCATTTCTAGAATATTGATTCTCTCTTTCAGAAATATAGCACCAAACTTCTTTTGAATTTTGCACATAGGGAGCATTACATGGTCGAAGTCTGCTGAAATGTAATTTCTAATCAATAGTTATTTTGCA